AAAAAAAAAAAAAAAAAAGAAAAAAGCAGCACTGTTAATCTTGCTGATAGCATGTCTGAATTATGAGGGGATTATAACACAAGTAGCTGCTATGACCTCAAGGTCCCACCTTGAGAACCAAAACGGAAGTGGGAGATAATGAAGGGCAGCACAGGTAAACCGTAAAATATCATAAACCCACTGCATCAGAAGACCCAAGCATTACTCAGCTTATGTACTCCTGCACTTCTACACCATAGTGTAAATGAGATATAATGTATATGCAACGGAGTCCTCAAAACAGCACTGAGGCAACTTTGGCCCATTTTCAGAAGCACAGAGCATTCAACAGCAGCCGACGGTAGGTAACAAGGCTGCCAATACCCTGCTTAGTTCATCGCAGCCTCCTATGTGCGTTATACAGACTGTGCTGAATACCTAGAGGAAACACACCATTATAGTATCCGTGCTACAGCACACAACTAGAAAAAAGTAACACCTATCCTCTCTGATGCAGTTCCGTTCTTCAGAATGCAAAAGGAACACACACAAACACTGTGTTTTCCCTCATCACACCACAGGGCCTTCAGAGAATTAAATGTACTGTTTGCTCTAAGGAGTGCAACAACATTTAACCCTAATTTAAGAGTACAAACAGCAAAAAACCTCACAAACAGAAATGAAACATCAGTAGAAGCTGCCCCTTTCAAATATTCAGGACCAAAGTATTTTTAGTGTAGCAAACTGAAAAGTTTTGTTTCCAACAAAACCAAACTGAGCAGACAAAGTATTTGTACTTTAGAACCTGTTCCATTTCACACATGGAGCTGCAATGCTATCACTTGTACAGCTGGGGTGGAAGGGCAGGGTGGGAAAATTTTCAGGCCTCTGATCAGCAGAGGAAGCCCTCATGCACTGGAATGTCTTTTGTAAAGTTTTTTACCAGAGGAAGAGCATATTCCTTGCTAAGTTCTTATTTTCAATCTAGCATCAAACACTTGTGAGAATTCTACAGAAAGACAAAGACTAATTTCATGACATAATGCAGTCAGGAAGGGGGAAGCACAAAACAGTGTATCATATGAAAGCATCTCCCAGGTACGTACAACTGGGACTTTCAAAAGAGCTTGAGGAAGTCATATTTATGACTCACTTTAAAGGGCGATGGGAATTTAAAAACTTTTGGGAAAACTTTTTTGTTTTTAAACTACTCTAGTTGATCTTTATCTAATCTTTTAGAACTAGTTAAAAAAGGAGGTGTGCATTTGTGTGTGTGGTAGGGAGGAATTTCCTAGAGTTAAAATTTCAGACATGCAAAATTACTATTTATATGTTACCTTAAAAATAATCCGCCTTTAAAAAAACACATAAACTATTTATTTTTGTGAAGTTCCTTTATAACATATAGCACACGCTCATTATAAAAAACAAGCTGATCAATACTTCCAGTACTGAAACTCACTTACCTGTATGCAAGTCTGTCCACAAGAACACTGGAAGACCATTGCCAAATCACTGACCCAGATTCAGCACACATTGGTTTCCATTCAGTATTTTCCAATGACGGTCCACAGACAAAGCTGATTACAACAGATTGTTTCCTGTTGGAAAAATATCAACCTTACAAATTACTGCGCAGGGCTACTTCCTAATTTTAGTGAAGAACCAAGAAAAATGACCTGGGATTATGCATTCTTCTGTATGATTCCACTGGTCCATTGAACCAGGAATGATGTTCCAAAGAAAAGGAAAAACAACTGTACACATATATTTCTCAATAACATTCATTCCTCCAGGGTTCAGAGTGAGGAATGAGTAAGAGCAACATGAGGTGTTTAGTATAAAATAAAACAGCTTATAACTTTGCATCCAAAACCAATGTCACCATATTTTTACAGTAGGTATGTCACACTACAGGGGCATTCCATCTGCATACATCTGAGCCAGATCCACTTCACCACGAGAGATGAAGGGCATCATGCTTCATTTGATCCAATATGATCACTTTTGCAAATGTCACAGATACAGTTACCATAGCTGCAATAATTAAAGAAAAAGAGAAAAGCAATGACAATTTAAAACCCAGCAGCCTGGCTTTCAGTTTAGATTACTCAGGCCCTGCAATGAGAAGAGTTATTGAATATAAATTCCTTACAAAGAGGAGACGAAAACCAGCTTATCTTCTCAAAAGGAAAGGAAAAAGTTCAGAGATAAAGCCACCCTAATTGTCTGTGTGTTCATATGCATGTGTAGTTTGCCAATATCACTGCAAGAAAACACTCAAGATTTTCCTCTTCAGTTCAATGTTTTATGTATTGAGCAAAGATTTCAATTCAAAGCTTATGGAGCAGGAAGATGGTTGGAAAAAAAGAAACCTAAAATACCACACATTCTCATTTAGGTTCCTGATTTATAAGAAATCCAGAATAATTCCAAATAGCTGAAGTCTAACATCACCATCAGCACTGACAGATAAAGGATATTGCAAGATCACATCAGCAACATTTGCAGCAGAATGAGTCAAAGGGGCAGGCCTACACACAGAACAATAACAACAACAACAAAAAAAATCTCTTTCCTCCTGTATTCAAAGAATCAGGAAAACCCCTGGCACGCTGAGGGAAAATGACTGATGAGGGGTGAGTTTTCTGTAAGTCTGGCTACTTCAGTTCACACAGGAAGGGCTCTCCTGTGTGAGTCTTAGGGTCTCTGGAAAGAAAATGACTGATTCTAGGGTGACTCATCTGTCCTCTTGTCCCCAAAAGCGGTCTGAGAGAAACACATCTCAAGGAGATAATACCAAAGTGCACTTAAACACAAGTTTCTGGGTTTCATTAATTTTCAGACTTCCCTGAACAAACTGTAAGATTTTAAAGGTGGTGAATTTCTCACATACTGCACAGGAAACCACCTTTGTCACAGGCACATTTGTCTAAGTCTGCACTGACTTTTAACTCTGGATATCACACTGTAAACAAGGTTCACAAGAAAAAATTTTTAAAGGTAAACATTTGAGAATATTAACAAGCATGTTTACTTCTCAAACCACATATAATTTCCTTTCCACACTAAAACAAGCAGAAAAACATCTGTATGTTCATTAGCTTCTATGAAGCTAAAAAAGTTACTTATACTCCTATTTTTGAACTATTTCACACTGCCCTAAGTCCATACGGAATACAACCAAAATCAGGGACTTTTTTTTTCCTTTTTATTTTTCCCCAAGGAGCAGGAAATAACAACATACTAAAACTTCACATACAAAGACATACAAGGCTCCAGTAACTCCTTGCTGCCATTAACAAGCGGAGGCTGGTATGTTTGTACAAGGGTCAAGCAACTACTCTTTGCTGTTGAAATGACATCCATGCATGAAATCCTTGTTCCCATGACTGCAACACAAATGCTGCACAATATACAAATACTAATGTGATTATCAAGGCAAAGAGAAGTGTTCCACATCAAAGATAAGTCAACATATCATACTAATAAGGAAGGCCTTTCAAGAGAACCAGGGAAACATTTCCCACACTAAACATGCTCCACAATTACAGCCTGTAATTTTTGACAGCATTTGTTTCTTGAACATTTATCTCTGCAGCAGCCAAAACAGGATATAATATCAGTGGGTGTAGTTCTGATTTGGAAAATTATCTTTCTTTCACAAGATGAGCTAATGTCGAAGCCCCTAAGATAGAGGCAGAGAGTAGGAGGTTAATGTTGCTACAGGAGGCACTGGCTGCATTTTGTGCTTCCTCTGCTCTGCTTTGTATGAAGATGTATAGGTAACTGCGTTTTGAGTCTGGAATCATCTGGCATTTTTCAAAGCGTTGAACTGTTTGGAGCATGCTCCACAACTTTTACATTTTCCTATAAAGAAACGGGTATTTGATACGAGACACTTAAGGAAAACAAGGAAATCCCGCAGCAACTTTCACATTTCTTGTTATTATATTAGGCTTAAATACTTTGTTCTCATGTAAAGTAGTAGTGACCACGCTAATTTCCATTTAGAAATGCACCAGTTTGAGATCCCAGTTCTAAAACAAACCACAACCAAACAAAAAAAAAAAACCAAAAACAAAAACAAAAACAACCAAACCAACAAACACAACCAAAACCAACCCTAAAACTGCTTTTACCGCAGGGAGTTTATGCAGATTTCCACGCAACTTTCTAACTACGTCATTTTAAATCACACTTGGAAAACGAAGCAAGAGGAAACTCCGCTCTGAAACATTAAAAAAAAAAAAAAAAAAAAAAAAAAAAGGCTGAAGCCGACAGGCAGTGTCGGGTTTCGTTTCTCCTCAGGAGCAAGGTCGGGCTCAGGCCCCACTTGGGCCGGGCGCCCCGGCTCTCCGCACCCGCCTCAGCCCAACCCCGCTGAGGAGCGGACGGGCAGAAGGACCCGATCCCGGGACACGGTGTGTTGTACTGAAGGCGGAGGGTAGGAAGAGAGGTGTGAGAGAAAGGAAGAGAGAAAGGTATAACGCACCCAAAGGCGGCGGGGAGGTCTCCTCTCTAGCAGCGGGGTCAGGTCCGGCATTGGGAGCAGGGAGGAGGAGGGGGCGGCACCGGGCGTGGTTTCGAGGTTTGCGTTTCTTTCTCTTTCATACCAGTAGGATATGCAGGACGCTTTTCCATCGTATTCCCTGTGGCTATTGGAGAGACTTGGGCCGTCTCCGCGCGTAGATAGCAACGCTGTTTGAGGCAGAGATCTCCCCTCACAGGGGGACGAGGGAACTGGCTTTAGCTGCCTCACTATCATTATACATCTGTCGAAGCACGTTTGCTAACCCTTACGAATTTATCGTGAGTCCGGCCGTTAGGTATTTTGAGGCTAGGCGCGGGAAGGATTGTGCTTTTCGTTTCGCTTTACCGTCTACCTCAGGAGAGGAGACCCCGAGCCGCGCAAGCAACCCTGCCCCGCTCCCACAAGATGGCGGCGCCGCCATGGCGGAGAGGAGGTCGCTTTACGCGCGCAACCGCCCGTTGGTGCCTTTGGGTGCCGGTGAGGGACAAAATGGCTTCCGAGGGGCTGGGTCCCCGGCGACTCGGCAGGCCTGTGAGGAGGAGTTGGCAGCGGCGTAGTCCCGCGTTACGGGATGTGTGAAAATGTTTACGGGACGACGCTTTGTGTGCTGCTGGTGGTATAAGGACAGACAAAAAGGCTTTGTATGGGCCCCAGCTGCCAGTCAGTGGTAACAGGCCGTTTTTCAGTGAGCGGTTATAGACTTGGCCTGTGTTTTGGCGGGAGTTTATACAGAAGCAAGCCCATATTTGGTTCACGTCGTCCTCTCATTCTTGGGTTCGTTCACAGTGAAGATGATAACTGTACAGGTACGTGAAAGTTGTATGCTCCCCATTGCTGGATAATTTTCAGTAAATTTTAAGTAATGCCTTGTCCCTGTAAACTGGGTGTTGTGATTCCCTTGGTATAAACCAGCAACTTCCACAAAGCAACTTACTCAGAGGTGCTAGTATTGTACCTGGAGCTGCTCTCTTAAAGGCCTGAAATATAAAATTCTGGCCTATTTTATCAGAATTTGGTCAGTTGCCACACGACTGCTCTGTATTCTGAAAAAGTACCTGCATTCCTACTGAAATCAGGTGGTCAGACTCTCCCTTCACTGTCAGTCATTAAAGGGTATCACAGTATCCCTGCTACGAGGACCGGTGCTTATTCAGAAGGAAACCAACTACCTGCTGTGAATCACTATGCACACTTTGTCCTTGGATCTATTCCATACAAACATGTAAAGACTTGTACAGGCTAATAAAAGAGGTTTAAGGAGATGGTATGGCTGCAGGCTTAGAAGAATTTTTTTTTAAAAAAATGACTGAATGAATTATTTACCAATTTAACACAGTCATTGCTTAAGCAACCAATATACTCCTGTTTACTTACTCTACTTTTTCCTTAATTTACCTAACTTTTATATGCTTACTAAACAGTTTGCACTTTTTAATAGGCAGCACTTAAGAGTTGCATGCAAATTTTTTTAATTCTTCCTTGCCTGTTTCTAACTTGAAATACTATGTTGTCTTCATTGATAGGTTCTCCTGTAAACTGGAACTGTAAATCAGTATAAATACAGAACATAGAGCATACCAGTAAGATCAGATGTGATTGAGATGGTCCTATGTGTTTCAATTTAGAGGGTCTTGGATGTGAATCTCTGGGTTGGACATACTTCTCTTGATATTCTTTTATAACAGGCTTGATCTATTTATTTATGTAAGTTCTCCTAGTTACGTAAAACAAAAATATTTTTTTTTGTTGTTTATGCCTTCTAAATAATATAAACTTGTCTTTCATGCTATATATTTCAAAATCAGACATAGTATGATCAGGGTGAGCGCATTCCATCTGTATAAATAAATGGTGTCACTAGTTTCATTTGTTATGTGTTGGTGTTGCTTTTGTTACTATTAAAAAGAAGGCTAAATCTCTAAGGGAAGAGATTATTTTCACGGGTTTTTCTTTTTCATTGGAACAATGGTAAAAGGATTATCTGACTTTCAGATTTTCAGATTCTATTTGGCCTACAATTGAGGATATAGAACATACAGACTGTCTGTAAAATTAGTTCCCTGTCATACATGTAAAACGGTTTGGATGAATCATTAAATGTTTTGATACCCACGTCGAAATCAGTAAACTAAACTGGAAGACAAGCATGGATCCTGAGTATGTTCCTTATATCACCCCTTGAAGCAAAGACTTCTAACTTCAACTAGCTGCACTGACATAAAAAGTCTATCTAATAAATGTTGGTTTGGCCAATATTTAATTGCAGGATAGAAGCTCGTAGTTTCAGAGCTCAATAAAGATGATTTTTGTAGGAAGGTTTACAGGAGAGATTTCAAGGCAGGTTAACAACACAAACACACAGTCTGCTACTTGAACTACACCTGCCTCACATCATGAGAACAGTTATTCTGTTATGCTCTAAAGAAGGAATTTCTACTATCCAATTTATACTGCAATGTAGTCAGTATGGTATTGGAATCATTCAGCTGCTTTAACTTGTCTGTAACATATACATTTGGAAAATTATGCTAATGATGTAAATATTACAGGTACCATTAGCAAAAATAAATAAATAGATAAATCACCAGTATCTTTCCAGGTGAGCAGAAGTAGCTCTTTTGACTACTGATGGAGGTAGAATTTCCACCTGCATTTCAGAAAATAGATCATCATCAGTTGTGTTTTTCAGAACTTAAAGATACTGAAGGAGCTTCCTGACTATAGTATTACAGTCATGTATATTCCTTACCTGCAGGTGCCACTGCTGTTTGTGACCCTGTTCTTTGCACTATAAAATATCTGTGCTGGTAGAGAGGTTGTTTTAATGTGAGGACAGCTGTTGCTATGGTTACAGTGAAGACACATTTGGTACTGTTATTTTAATACACAGGAAATGCTCCACCCCCAGGCAGGATTAGTATTAGAATACATGTGAAATAAAAAGTGTTATGAGTATTTTATATAATAATGATGAAACATTTTTATATTTCACAATATTAGCAAAATAAGTTCATCATAAATAAAGGCAGTGCCTGCCATCTGGCTACTAAACCATTGAATAATACCACCTTAATCCATTTTTACCTAAACTAGTCTAGTCTAACAGTGAATATGCCCAACATATTTGCATATGTAGAATGTTGGTAAGGCTGATTCTTATGATCTTCCCTATACAAGACAGCGCTTAGGCATGAATTTGATTTTTAAATCTTTAAATTAGAGCATCTGTGGAAATTAAATTACATTGAGATAACTTACATGCAAGCAAGTATTCTGGAAACTGGCTGAAATTAGAAGACATAAGATCAGTAACTTAAATCTGTGTTCATTTGCTAGTGCTTGAAAATAAAATAATGTGTGAATATCTTCAGCTAGTGCAAATAAAGCTCTTGATTGTTAACAGAACTGTGTGCTGTATCAGTGAAATGGCAGCCTTACAACATTTTAAAACACTAATTCTAGAGGAATTACCTCAGACTCTGAAGCATTTGATGTAGAGCAAGCAAAAATACCCAATGAAAAGCATAAATACAGAAGAAAATGAAAACAAGCTTTCCCAATAGGAAACTAAATGGGTCAGGAACCACTGCTTAAAGTTTTTTTAAGGCTTTTGCTTCTGGAATAGCTGCAACAGAGTTGGAGGGGGAAGGAGGGAGAGAGCAGCCAGTCAGCACACAAGTACTGCACACTAGATCAAAATTATAAAGAGCAGCTGAAGTGAGAAGCAGAGTGCAAGATTCACCAATACTGCATGTAATGCTAGTTCTGTTAATTGTTTTACTGAATGATCATCTAAAATTCAGTTACCTTAGTCACAGACGCAGAGAGAAAACAAGCAGTGAATACTAGTCTTTGAAAATGTGTATTCTGGGTGGGACTGCCTAAGGGACAACATGGAAATATTTTGTGCAACAGACCTTACACAGTAGGTTCTTGATTTGTTTTTCAGGGAATGATGCAACTGGATAGGGATGCTTGAGAAATAATTAGGCAAGAGAAGTTTAGTAAATCAAATGTTTGCCCTATGAACAGTGCCTTGAGCAATGTCAGACAGAGATGACAAACTCCACTGAACAATACAGCTGCACTCCCACAATAGCAGATGTTTACTAGCTCTAAAAATAAAGCTGTTTTATAATCTCGCTCAAAAGGTCATCTGTGGATATGTATATATTAAAAGGAATATTTTGGCCATATTTTGGTAATTTCAATTTTTTGTAAACTTACAATTTGTGACATGATTACTTAAACTCGCCAGTTTCTTCACCATGGAAATACACTAATTGTCTGGTGGCATTTTAAGTTTCTCACTCAACTAATCTTGCTCTTCTGTTTAGACACACAGATATCCTGTTGTTTGGATTGAAAAATGAGATAGTATACCCTCCTTAGCTTATGTTACTAATGGCACAACAAAATTTACTTCCCAGCACTGCAGAGGACATACTGCCAAACAAGCCCTTTCTCCTTTAGTTCTACTCCATGCATTCTTAAAGCACTCCAGAAGCTGTTAGATAATCTAAGGGAAAAAAAAAAAAAGGAAATTAAAAAAATAATTAATTATTAAGAGACTAGGTTATAAAAAACCAATACCCAAATCTGTTCAAGGTAACCTGTATTTAATACAGTACAATTTTTCTCCTAAAAGCAATACACTTTCTCAATATAATGTTGGCAGGGCTTGAAAGAGATGGGTTGATACTCTCACCTGTTCTTCAAAAGATGGTACAGTAAACCCAAGAGCCTATATATGTTTGGTTTTCTTTTTACCCCAGACTAAAGTCAGGTAAATCACTCTGGCTGTGTTTTTTGATCGCTTCACCTAAGTATAATATAATCAAAGAAACATGTTTTTGCCTGTGATAAACTTTAATACGCATATTTTAAGTACAGAGTGAGCAGCAGGCTTACATCTGTTTCCTCTTAGTAATGAGCAAGTATTTAGTTGTCATATTTGATCTTCAGTGATGGCCTCCATTCTTCTTTGGAGGAAATAGTGCATATTCAACACCAAGAGCTATGACGAAAGCTGCAAATCCCCACTTGAGTCCCCTAGTAAAGACTTCTGTTAAGGTGACAGGTTTTGCAAAGCCACCCATATATCTCCAGGCTTCATTACTAGAAGAAAGATGAAACCAAAAGAGTAAAACAAGATCAGTGGAGCCACTGTGATAAACATTAACAGGAATATCTTCATTCAGAAAAAAAAGATGAAGGTATTTCAACTAGATATGCGTTAAGACTGTAAAATTTCTATCATTTAAGTAACAGGAGTTGCCACAAGTAAAGTTCATGATACCAATTAAAACCATTTATGCATGTAATTTGAGATACAAGTAACACCAACAAACAATGTAATTTTAGTGACAGAATCACCTCCCCAAATGTATGTAATTGTGTCTTCTGTTTTTACTCTGTTTGCAACAAAATCACACCCACTAACACATGCATGGGATGGAGGAATCACAAAGGCTAGTCACTGTGCTAGACAGGAGCATAGTTAAATCTTAAAGGGGAAAGTTTTTCCAGCCATAGAAAACTCATCCTAGTGTGGAGGTACTTTCTGTTTTACAATATGACACTTATAAAGGTCAGAAAAACTTGAATAAAATTGATGTAAAAAAACCAAAAACCAAAACCACGCAAAACAAACCAGAACCGCCACAAAACTGAATAGATTGTGTTTAGCTAAAAAGCTACAGAATATTTGCAAACCTCATGCTGCTTTGGCTGTTTTCAACCTACATTGTTATTGAAATGTTAGTCACTGCTGTAACCTAGTACAAGGATTTATGTGTAGCACAACAAGTGTAATTATAGAAGAGACAAACTGTGTCCATCTCTAAGGACTCAAAGTCCTTAAGAAAAGGAAAAAAAGATTCGTACAGAAACAAGCAATAACACCAGACCCATCATTTCAGGAGAGGATACATTTTTTTTAATCAAGGGGGTCAAGCATTTATATTCACAGATGATCCTCTTGTGCAGATGGTTTCTGTGACTTGGGATGAAGGGGTATTGGCATGGAAGAGTATCTTCTAGATGCTAGTATAGGTTATTAATGGATAACGACTTGGTTTCCAAATATGACATCTTTCATGCAGCTTATTCTGTACTGAATACATACACACACTAAAGTGCATTTGCTACAAAGGTGGAAAGCTGATCCCCTGCTAAAAGGAACTTAATATATCAGAGGGGAGCCCTAGAGAGGGTTACTTTTTCAAGACTTCTAGTGCAAGATATTAATAATGCAATCTTCTTCCAGATAACTGAAGCAAATAACTGGATACTTTGATTTCTCCTTTGTTGAAGAAGATTGGCGTGATACTTGTACTTGTCCTATAGAACTGAAACATTACCTTACATAAAATTTGCAAAGTTCAGGAGGAATCATCTCATGCTTTAAGTTTGACTTTGTTCCTTATTTCAACTCTTCACATAATTGGCTCAACTCTTTTCTTTTATCAGAGAAACATTTTTATTTCTTTATCTAGGAAGGGCAACAAATATTACACAAGCTCTTTTCCAGTTTGCTGTTTTGCAGCACTTCCTGAACACTATACTTGGAAGAATATGCACTAAAACTCCAGTTAATTTACATTAAATTTATGATACTAAATTGTGCCAATTTTTTATGGGATTAAGACTATTGCTTGCTGAAAACAAATTTTTCATAAGCAAAGGGGAAAAAAAAAGCTAACACTGCTTGCACTCCACAAAGGCGGCATAAACGTGACACAGGTCCAAAACCAATAATCCTAAGGACTCGTATATCAAATTATTCTTATCATCAAAACTATGTTTTACTCTGTGCTTACAGCCTTAAACTGTTTCAAAGGAAGGAAAAAAGTGCTGCCAATCCCAAGCCCCTCCAGAGGTTATAGCATGTAACAACTTTTTAACAGATCACCTGTTCACTCTTACATTTTTCTTGTAGTGATTTGAAGTAAAGCCTTTTCTATGAAGGCTCCTGGAATAGTTTGCTCATGCAACTTTTCCCTTACAGAAGAACTGGGCTACATAGCACAAGACATTTAGCAGTTTTATTCCCCAAAATTTAAGAGAACTTGAGCATAGTATTACACAATTCATGATGTGGGATAAATATATTAAGCCCTGTTTTAACAGCTGCCTAAATGGTCCAAAATTGCTCTAGCTAAAAAAGATGAGGTATTCATTGCAGAATGGGACAATTTAAGATGTAAAAATCTGATTTTCCATTATGTTTTTCACTGCTTCGCAAAATAAAATGCACAGTTGAATCAAATTGTGCATTGTATACTGGGATAGTTCTTTTCAAAGAAAGGCCTCCTGTTGTATGTGAGGATTGCTATTCGTACTCAGAACGTCAACGTAAGTTCCATCAACTTCAGCAATCTCTGAACACACAATCTCTGCTGGAAAAGGATAGGCTTACTCACGTGTGCAAGACCTACTATTACTTAAGTGTTTTGGTGGCTGAAGTATTGGTCACTCTGCACAATCTGTATCATCGTGAAATATCACAAAATTCAAGGGTGCCTTGCAAAACGTGGACGCTGGGCATGGTGATGCATAGCATGACCTCCACAGAAAATCTAAATAAAGACTTAGCTGAAATTCTGCTGATATATTCTAGATGCATTTTCACTATTTTTACTAAAGAAAGAATAATCTGCAATGACAATGCCCAGTTGATGGTACAAGACAACATATCAAGACTGTATTTGAGGCCGTTGCACTTACCGAGCCCATGGATCTTTAAGACCCCGTTTAGCGAGCATTTCCTGGACCTTCTCTAGTGGAGTACCCTCTACCTTCCATTGCCTGTAGTCAGGGAGTTCCATTTTGCCGTGGCCATGGCCATGTCCATGTTCATTTCCATGCCCCATACCTACAAGAAAAGATCAGAGTTTTTTTATTTCTCAGAGAGGATCAGCTTATTTTCACACACTTGCAAAAGAACAATACCTTCTACTGGAAGAACAGGGAGGTTATAAGAAGTATTTCAAAGCACACTACACGGCACATGAAGCTCCTGCATTGTACACAGTACATGGAAAACAAAGAGCTAGGAGACTTTACGCTGCATTTCAAAAGTTGGTGATTAAACATAATACTGCAAACTGTGCAGACTTAAGTGCTACTATGTTATAACTCACCACCACCACGACATTCGCGAAGCAGCTCTGCAAATTTTCTGTGCCAGAAAATAATGTCAGAAAAACAATAGTTTCCAATATCTATAAATGCACTTTAGTAACACCAGGGCCCACCATCTTGCAGGCTTTCCAGCGTACATCAAAAAGCTCAGAGTTCAGTTTGGAAATTTCTAATTAGAGCCATGATCACCAAGGTCTGAACAAAAACATGAAAAATAAGACGTGGTTCCTCAGCTCCGTTTTTTTTTTTTGTTGCCTCCAATTCAGTCAAACATAACTAAGGCAATAAACAGGCACAGGACAGATAAATGGACAAGGAGACACACCTTACTAGTAATTTCACGAGGCTAGGAAATATATGCTTTATTTAGACACAACTTTGAGATAACTATGAAAATGTTACAGCTCCCATTAAAAACAGTAGTCAAGGCAAATGGGAAATTGAACATTTTCAGTGAGATCATGAAGGACTGGCAGAAAATAACAACAGCTTTGAAGTCTCCATTTTCACAAAGCACTTGAGATAATTTTGAGCCAGGATTTCCCATTTTAACACACACCTGATACCAAAGAACAAATTTAATGTTCTTGATTTTTGTGAGTATTGACTGGAACACAATGATGCCAAGAGCACTGCTTTGAAGCCTGTAACTCTTGAAGACCCCAAGCCGTGGAAGCAAGCAGAGAGGATACTCTTGCAGAAGGAAACCTGAAGAGCTCTAATGCTGTCATTATCTGAAAAGCTCCCCCCAAATTAGTCCCCAGTCCACATCCTTGCCATAAAACCCCAAGACCTCTCTCCTACCAGTTTTCTTTCTGCAAAAAAGGGGTTTGTAATGCACACCAGCACCCACACACCGCGGCCAGCACTTCAGCGCCAGCCAGGCACTCTCCGCCAGCAAAGCCGGCAGAAGCTGGGCCGAGAGGGAGCCCCGGGCCGGGGGGGGCAGGAAGGCCGGCACAGCACCAGCACCGAAGCCCGCTAGCCCGGCGGGGCGGCTGTCCACCTAACGGCGCGCAGAGAAGGGCCACGGCGGCTGCGCCGGGCCGCTGCAGCTCGGAAGCGCAGCGGACACCTCCACCGCCCCTTCCCCTCCCAAGCCCGCACACAGACGCCCCCGGGGTGGGCAGCGACGCAGGCAGGTCCCAGAGGACGCCTGGGCCCGCGACCGGCCCCGCCCCTCCCGCCGATGGGCCTTCTGTACCTGCCCGCTCCGTGACCCTCCTTCAGGACGCAGCCGCTACCCGGAAGCGGAAGTCGCTGAGGGGACTGGCCGCTGCAGGAAGCGCAGCTGGCCGCGAGAGTTCCGGGCACCTTCCGTTCCAGTCCTCTCCCACTGTCTTGGCGAAGGCGCGAAGGCAGTGAGGCCGCTGTCCCAGCCCTCTGCCGCCCGCAGCACTCCCACGGTGGTTTAACGGGCCACGTCCCGCGGACAAAGCGGCGCCGCCGACTGTGGGGGAGGACTGTGGGAGAGGGGAAGGAGGAAGGAGACACGGGGGAGAAAGCGGCCAATCAGCGCGCGGCTTGTTGAGGGCGGGAGCGGCCCAATGGGCGGGTGCGTTGTTGAGCTGCGGGGTTGGCAGTGGCTGGAGGTGGCAGCGGAGGAGAAGAGGGTGAGGGGGCGGCGGCGGCAATAGTAGTCGGTACCGGAGGCGTTGGGTGGCGGCGGGCGGGGCCTGGGCCGGCAGGGCCAGCGACGGCGACAAGGAACCCCACTCCATTCCCCTCTCTTCGGTGGCTGGCCGTTGCCGGGTGCGCGAGCAGGGACGGAAGCCCGCGGGGTCTGTGCGTGCGGGGGCGCGAGCCGTTGTCCATCCTCCC